AACTGAGTATATGCGATTTTGTTCAAAATCACATTATAGGAACTCCTGAGCATGCCGAGTACTATCCTATCACTTCCATAGTTCGATTATGAATAATTAGTGGTCGTAATGATGCTTGGAATATTTTAATGAAATTTTTCACAATGCTTATTTCAGTACTCTCCAACTATTGGTTTCTCAGGCATTTGGTTGGTGCTGTTATGTTCTAATGGATGTGCTTAATTACTGAAATTAATCCCACCAAATTTCATGTCTGAGAGAAAATCATATTTGGGTGGAAAAACGCATAAGGGGGGACCCTTACACGTTTTTTCCAGGGTCGACACAAAACTCGATATATGCGATTTTGTTCAAAATCACATTATAGGTACTCCTGAGCATGCCGAGTCCGGTCCTATCATCGACAGTTCGATTGCGGAATAATTAGTGGTCGTAATGATGCTTGGAATATTTTAATGAAATTTTTCACAATGCTTATTTCAGTATCTCCAACTATTGGTTTCAGGTATTTGGTTGGTGCTGTTATGTTCTAATGGATGTACTTAATTACTGAAATTAATCCCACCAAATTTCATGTCTGAGAAAATCATATTTGGGTGGAAACGATAAGGGGGACCCTTACGCCGCTTTTTTCCAGGGCCTATTACACAAAACTCGATATATTCGATTTTGTTCTTTAAAATCACAGTATAGGTACTCCTGAGCATGCCGAGTCCGGTCCTATCATCGACAGTTCGATTGTGGAATAATTCGTGGTCGTAATGATGCTTGGAATATTTTAATGAAATTTTTCACAATGCTTATTTCAGTACTCTCCAACTATTGGTTTCTCAGGTATTTGGTTGGTGCTGTTATGTTCTAATGGATGTACTTAATTACTGAAATTAATCCCACCAAATTTTATGTCTGAGAGAAAATCATATTTGGGTGGAAAAACGCATAAGGGGGGACCCTTACGCGTTTTTTCCAGGGTCGAGAGCAAACGCGATATATGCGATTTTGTTCAAAATCACAGTATAGGTACTCCTGAGCATGCCGAGTCCGGTCCTATCATCGACAGTTCGATTGCGGAATAATTAGTGGTCATAATGATGCTTGGAATATTTTAATGAAATTTTTTCACAATGCTTATTTCAGTACTTCCAACTATTGGTTTCTCAGGTATTTGGTTGGTGCTATGTTCTAATGGATGTACTTAATTACTGAAATTAATCCCACCAAATTTCATGTCTGAGAGAAAATCATATTGGTGGAAAACGCATGGGGGACCCTTACGCTGCTTCCAGGGTCGACACAAACCGATATATCCCATTTTTGTTCAAAATCACAGTATAGGTACTCCTGAGCATGCCGAAGTCCGGTCCTATCATCGACAGTTCGATTATGTGAATAATAGTGGGTCGTAATGACGTTTGGAATATTTTAATGAAATTTTTTCACAATGCTTATTTCAGTACTCTCCAACTATTGGTTTTCAGGCATTTTGGTTGGTGCTGTTATGTTCTAATGGATGTACTTAATTACTGAAATTAATCCCACCAAATTTCATGTCTGAGAGAAAATCATATTTGGGTGGAAAAACGCATAAGGGGGGACCCTTACGCGTTTTTTCCAGGGTCGAGAGAAAACGCGATATATGCGATTTTGTTCAAAATCACAGTATAGGTACTCCTGAGCATGCCGAGTCCGGTCCTATCATCGACAGTTCGATTGCGGAATAATTAGTGGTCGTAATGATGCTTGGAATATTTTAATGAAATTTTTCACAATGCTTATTTCAGTACTCTCCAACTATTGGTTTCTCAGGTATTTGGTTGGTGCTGTTATGTTCTAATGGATGTACTTAATTACTTAAATTAATCCCACCAAATTTCATGTCTGAGAGAAAATCATATTTGGGTGGAAAAACGCATAAGGGGGGACCCTTACGCGTTTTTTCCAGGGTCGAGACAAAACTTGATATATGCGATTTTGTTCAAAATCACAGTATAGGTACTCCTGAGCATGCCGAGTCTGGTCCAATCATCGACAGTTTGATTGCGGAATAATTAGTGGTCGTAATGATGCTTGGAATATTTTAATGAAATTTTTCACAATGCTTATTTCAGTACTCTCCAACTATTGGTTTCTCAGGCATTTGGTTGGTGCTGTTATGTTCTAATGGATGTACTTAATTACTGAAATTAATCCCACCAAATTTCATGTCTGAGAGAAAATCATATTTGGGTGGAAAAACGCATAAGGGGGGACCCTTACGCGTTTTTTCCAGGGTCGAGAGAAAACGCGATATATGCGATTTTGTTCAAAATCACAGTATAGGTACTCCTGAGCATGCCGAGTCCGGTCCTATCATCGACAGTTCGATTGCGGAATAATTAGTGGTCATAATGATGCTTGGAATATTTTAATGAAATTTTTCACAATGCTTATTTCAGTACTCTCCAACTATTGGTTTCTCAGGTATTTGGTTGGTGCTGTTATGTTCTAATGGATGTACTTAATTACTGAAATTAATCCCACCAAATTTCATGTCTGAGAGAAAATCATATTTGGGTGGAAAACGATAAGGGGGGACCCTTACGCGTTTTTTCCAGGGTCGAGACAAAACTTGATATATGCGATTTTGTTCAAAATCACAGTATAGGTACTCCTGAGCATGCCGAGTCCGGTCCTATCATCGACAGTTGATTGCGGAATAATTAGTGGTCGTAATGATGCTTGGAATATTTTAATGAAATTTTTCACAATGCTTATTTCAGTACTCTCCAACTATTGGTTTCTCAGGCATTTGGTTGGTGCTGTTATGTTCTAATGGATGTACTTAATTACTGAAATTAATCCCACCAAATTTCATGTCTGAGAGAAAATCATATTTGGGTGGAAAAACGCATAAGGGGGGACCCTTACGCGTTTTTTCCAGGGTCGAGACAAAACTCGATATATGCGATTTTGTTCAAAATCACAGTATAGGTACTCCTGAGCATGCCGAGTCCGGTCCTATCATCGACAGTTCGATTGCGGAATAATTAGTGGTCGTAATGATGCTTGGAATATTTTAATGAAATTTTTCACAATGCTTATTTCAGTACTCTCCAACTATTGGTTTCTCAGGCATTTGGTTGGTGCTGTTATGTTCTAATGGATGTACTTAATTACTGAAATTAATCCCACCAAATTTCATGTCTGAGAGAAAATCATCATTTGGGTGGAAAAACGCATAAGTGGGGACCCTTTACGCGTTTTTTCAGGGTCAGAGAAAACGCGATATATGCGATTTTGTTCAAAATCACAGTATAGGTACTCCTGAGCATGCCGAGTCCGGTCCTATCATCGACAGTTCGATTGCGGAATAATTAGTGGTCGTAATGATGCTTGGAATATTTTAATGAATTTTTCACAATGCTTATTTCAGTACTCTCCAACTATTGGTTTCTCAGGCATTTGGTTGGTGCTGTTATGTTCTAATGGATGTACTTAATTACTGAAATTAATCCCACCAAATTTCATGTCTGAGTGAAATCATATTTGGGTGGAAAAACGCATAAGGGGGGACCCTTACGCGTTTTTTCCAGGGTCGAGAGAAAACGCGATATATGCGATTTTGTTCAAAATCACAGTATAGGTACTCCTGAGCATGCCGAGTCCGGTCCTATCATCGACAGTTCGATTGCGGAATAATTAGTGGTCGTAATGATGCTTGGAATATTTTAATGAAATTTTTCACAATGCTTATTTCAGTACTCTCCAACTATTGGTTTCTCAGGCATTTGGTTGGTGCTGTTATGTTCTAATGGATGTACTTAATTACTTGAAATTAATCCCACCAAATTTCATGTCTGAGAGAAAATCATATTTGGGTGGAAAAACGCATAAGGGGGGACCCTTACGCGTTTTTTCCAGGGTCGAGACAAAACGCGATATATGCGATTTTGTTCAAAATCACAGTATAGGTACTCCTGAGCATGCCGAGTCCGGTCCTATCATCGACAGTTCGATTGCGGAATAATTAGTGGTCGTAATGATGCTTGGAATATTTTAATGAAATTTTTCACAATGCTTATTTCAGTACTCTCCAACTATTGGTTTCTCAGGTATTTGGTTGGTGCTGTTACGTTCTAATGGATGTACTTAATTACTGAAATTAATCCCACCAAATTTCATGTCTGAGTGATAATCATATTTGGGTGGAAAAACGCATAAGGGGGGACCCTTACGCGTTTTTTCCAGGGTCGAGACAAAACTCGATATATGCGATTTTGTTCAAAATCACACTATAGGTACTCTTGAGTATGCCGAGTCCGGTTCTATGATCGACAGTTCGATTGCAGAATAAATAGTGTCGTAATGATGCTTGGATTATTTTAATGAAATTTTTCTCGATGCTTATTTCAGTACTCGCTAATTATTGGTTTCTCAGGTATTTGGTTGGTGTTGTTATGTTCTTCTGGATGTACTTAATTACTGAAATTAATCCCACCAAATTTCATGTTTAAGAGAAAATCATATTTGGGTGGAAAAACGCATAAGGGGGGACCCTTACGCGTTTTTTCCAGGGTCGAGACAAAACTCGATATATGCGATTTTGTTCATTTACGTATCTAAAAAATTTCATGCCTTTTTATTTTATATTTGCACTTCTTGTCTCTACAAAATAAACCTACACTATCATAATTTTCCCAGCAAATCTTCTAATCTCTTACTTTTTAACTTCTAATTTCTGTCTAATAACTTAAGTCAATGGCAATCTCATTCTACCCTAAGACACATGATAAGAAGTTCTCTCTTTTCATACATCTCCTCCCTTTGGTATCCAACACATAATTTCAATATGTCATTCACATCTGCACAACTCCTTCCCCTAAAAATATAAAATTAATCATATCCTATTCTTTCACAACATGCACAGAGAAGAACGTCTTACCGTGGCTGTTTTAACATCTCCTGTCGGTCTTAATGTTACTTCCCCAACAGTAGTTTCTGATGCATAACTTTTCAATTTATTCCATTCTCTGCTCCAACCTTCTTTTATAAAGTCAAATGTTCCAACATTGGCTGGACCTGAGATTTAGCATTAAAAACAACTAAAGAAACAATATGAAAGGGCAAAGAGCAATAATATAGTCATTATATTGCAAAATTCAACCAAAGACAGTGACACGGCAACAACTGGCCAATCCTCTCACACTTTTCACAAGCACTTCACATGGGACCATTTATTTACCAAGTTTCTTACCTTTTCTGACACTAAATATTCTTTTGAATATTATATAATTTGCATTTAACCAAAGAATTAAGTGTTTACCTGTTTTTAGATGCAGAGCATAGCTGGGGATATCTGAGGATTGTTTAGTGTTTCTTGTAGTGATAACGAGGTCACAGATATTGTTGATGTTTGTTTTGTGTTTTACTCCACACTCTTCATTAATTATGCTCCTGTAGTCAACTTTAACCTCTGTAAAAAAATATTTAAAGATTATGTGCCATTGGACAAAAAGAAACTCAGGATACCTTGTCTCATTAAATTTCTCATCAAAGAATAAATTTTGAAGATAGCTTCTATTATATACACAAAGCTGAATTACAAATGCTATTTTCTGAAATTAAAAAAGTTTATCACCCAGACACAGTCATTCCCAAGCACTGATCTGGCTGATTCCTTCAGCCATGGAAGCATCAGCTAATATCAAATACATGAGCTAAAATTTTCTATTGTATTTTAATTTTTCCCTTTGATAATGCAGTACAGTAATGAGCATGTACTGTACAATGCATGAAGCAAATAATGCTTGACAATTTCTGTACAGTATAGATATTCTGTAAGTAAATACAAATCTGACAATTATGGAGTATAATGGATATCTAAAAAAGTATGAATGACTGTCTGTGATTTTCTAAATACAGGAATTGTTTTTCTCTTAATTTATCATTTACACCACCTGCTAGTTTAGTAACACTTTGGGTGATCAGTCTGTTATTTGTCCAGTGTTAATAAAACTGTACCATCGACATCCAATTATTTTCATAATGTTCTTGTAAATGATTCAAAGAGCAAAATGCAGTAATTTACTTAAAGTTATAGAGCAGCTAAAGAGATGCAGCATATGTCATATTATAATGTGAGAGAGAGACCACAACATGTTATTAAATAGTAAAGAACACAAAGATTATAGATGAGCTTGCCTAAAACTACATTACACAGTAAAATTAATAAGGCAAAGGTTCCCAAACTGGGGTCAGCAACAAGATGAAAGAAAGCAGTATTTTCAGCCAAAAAATAAATACATAAACAAATCATTATTTTTTCCATCACCGACTCTCTCTCTACCCATTTTTTTCCCACTCATTAATGGTTACCCGTAGGCACCAACAAGCCACAAGCTAGGCACGTTGGGTCCGCCTTTTACAGCCAGGATTTGAAAGCCGCTGGCTATGTCATGTTTTGCCACATTGTACTTGAATTAAAATTGAGTTGAGTACCCAAAGTGTGTTCTCTGTCAAGAGATACTCTCCAATGAATGTTTGAAACCATCAAAACCACAAAGACACTTACAACAGAAACACCCCACTGAGGCCAGAAACTGCTGATTTCTTCAAACGACAAGAATCATCACTAGCCAGACAGGCAAGAACAGTAATACCCCGATTTACACGGTTTCACTTTACGCGATTCTAGATTCTACATTTAGATACCTAGCCAGAACCTACCGGAATTTCATTTTACGCTGTGCATCTACTCATATACAGGGTGAAGTATAATTTTTTATTTAGCTCATAAAATTCATACAAATTACCCGGCCAGAATATAATTTACATTGCTGGAATTCTTACAATATGATGATCATTTTGAATATAAACATCATGGATTTTGCATTAGACATACAAATTTTAGATCTAATGTAATAATTTGGTTTACACAAAGCAAATATTTTATCTTTTGTGCAAAATATATGAAGTTTACATTCAAAATATTACCTGACCTACAAGGAATCCAGAAATGTCAATTATATTATCCTAACTTTAGTCTTAGGTATTATTTATTACTAAAGGTTAAAATCTAGTTTTTTCACCCAAACATTTCTCTGGTAGTGAGGGAAGGTGGGGGGTGGGGGGTGGGGGGGAGGGTTGGGACCGACCGACCCAGCTGGCGTGAGTGTGAGGAGGGGGGGGAGGCAAGGTGGGGTAGTACTTTGATTGACAGATAGTGTCCTGAAGAATAATTTTTTTTTATTACCTGAAGATATTTGTTTTAGCTCATAAAATTCATACAAATTACTCTGCCAGAATATAATCTACATTGCTGGAATTCTTACAATATGATGATCATTTTGAATATAAACATCATGAATTTTGCATTAGACATACAAATTTTAGATCTAATGTAATAATTTGGTTTACACAAAGGAAATATTTTATCTTTTGTGCAAAATATATGAAGTTTACATTCAAAATATTCCCTGACCTGCAAGGAATCCAGAAATGTCAATTATATTATCCTAACTTTAGTCTGAGGTATTATTTATTACTAAACGTTAAAATCTAGTGGTTTCACCCAAACATTTCTGAGAGAGGTAGGAGCTAGTGAACTGGGAAGAAGGGGGGGGGGGATTTGAGTCCATTATTTGAATGGACATTAACCTGGCGACTGTATTTCTCTTAAATATTAATTGTGTGAGCATACCATCATAAAATTTAGATGTTATTTTTACTACAACATAGGTATTGTGTCGGAAAAAGTGGAGTTTGAGAGTTTGGGGGTCGGGCCAGTCTCTATTGGAATTAATCCCATATGTTCTGTTGTTCACTTTACGCGGTTTTCACTTTCCGCGGTACCCTGTGGGTTCAATTGACCGCGTAAATCGGGGTACTAATGTATATATATATGCCTCATGTATTTCTCCTTAGTCTATACTCACCCCTGAGGATGTGAATTACACGAAAGCGCTTGGGAACTTCGTGTTTTCTTCTTTCCTTGTGGTTATCAGCGCATATATATATATATATATATATATATATATATATATATATATATATATATATATATATATAGTAGTATATATATATATATATATATATATATATATATATATATATATATATATATATATATATATATATATATATATATATATATATATATATTGTATACAAACAGTAAATTTATTTATTTATTCATTTATATATCTATTTATTTATTTTTGTTTTTTACGGGGAATGGCCCACCTGGGCACAGGCTCATTGACCCACAATGAGGCCTGGGGGACAAAAAAAATTTAGAGTAAAAATAAAAATAGGAGAAAAGACTATACAGTACTGCATTTACCTACACCACAAAGATGCCTGAAAACCAGCTTTTTGAAGTGAGACAGATTGTAAGAGTATGGAAACACAGAAGAAGGCAGAGCATTCCACAGTTTGGCTGTGTGAGGAAAGAAGGATGTACTATAAACAGGGTATTCTAGTGCGACCGACAGCCACAGAGAAACGGTGGGCACCGCGGGCAAGACAAGTGTTACGAGCCCACAGCCTTGCCGGTGGTACACAGGATTCCAAATCCACCAAACATTGCTCGTTAAAATACCTATAAAAGAGAGAGAGTGAAGCAACATTGCGGCGAAGAAAAAGAGAAGAGAGATTATCGATTAAAGGAAGAAAGTTAAGAAGACAAAATGCCTTTTGATTCCATCCTATCTAACAGTTGGACAGAAGAAGAGCCACCCCAGATTAGGATGAATGAATCCTTTATAAACTTGAAGCAACTGCTCAGTAGTGAAGTAGTTACGGCATTTGTACAGCATTCCCAGCTTTCGGGAAGCAGCTTTAGCAATGTTGTGTATGTGTGGCTTCCATGACATAGAAGAAATGAGGAGAGCATATGAGGCCTAGCAAGGCCTAGCCCTTCTTTGGGATGGGCTAAACCTAGGCATGCTTCCAAGAAGAAGGAAAAATTTGGGTTTTGAGGCAAAGGCGAAAGAGGCGAGCAAGCATGGGGGCCAGAATTTCAGCACACTCCCTCATAACATGAGGGAGTATTCCATTTGGTCCATGCACCTTACTCATATCCAGATTGGATAACACACCAGCAACCCTACGGTGTAGATTATAGGAAAGTGCATACGTTCAGTAGGAGGAGCAGGAGTAGGAGGGGGAGAGTTGGAATAGTCTAAGGTGGAGTTACAAGAGACTAAGGTGCTAAAGAGAATGGCTTTATCAGTGGGACAGTTGACTACAGAGTTATCGGTTGAAAAAGAGGAGGAAAAGAGGGAGTGCAGAAGTTATTACAGATGTTTTTGGTTAAGGACCAGAAGGATTTACTAGAAAAAGAGTTAGTCAGGTCAGTGGTCTTTCTTCTTATAAAATTCCGCTTGGCCCTTCGAAGAATAACCTTACAATGATTCCTAGAAGTAATGAAAGAGGAGTGGGTAACAGGAGGAGATAGTTTCATAACTTGTTATGCCCTATCTCTCTCCCTATATGTAAGAAAACAAGAGAGATCAAACCATGATTGTAAAGTGAAAATTATGGTAGAAGATGGGATAAATGCACTCATACTACCCAGTATAACCCCAGCAATGCTGTCAGCACATACTGAGGCATCCCGAGTGGAAAAGCAAAATTCATCCCAGGGAAAGTCGGAGAAGAATTCTCGCAAGGATTGCCAGT